TGGTTGGAGTGGAGAAAAGCTAAATTCTAGCTAAATCATTAGCCATTTTGGCTAAAAACATGAAATAGCTACCATGTATGGAGTTGCTCTTAGAAGTCAATTACTTTACATTTTCTTTAAACTAAGGGTTAGATTTAGTTTTATCTATGATATCCTTAACAGGAATAGCTAGAATGCATTTGCCTGCTGAGTTAATTAGTTTTAATCATGATATCCTGAACAGGAATAGCTAGAATGTATTCGAATGCTGGTGTGGCAAATAACTTAAGTCGCTTTCTTGAGTTTTGGACACCAGCAATTGACATGATGGATTATTTGCAGGTATTTAGTGGTTTAGAGGATCGGAATTTGTTGTCTAGTACTATGCTGCCTTCAACAGAATCCGAGAACACTGCAGAAGATCTGAGGCAAGAGTTGGAATACTTTAAGAAGGTAAAAGAAGGATTTCGCCTCATTTTCTACATTTTCCTTGTCTTACTCTAGTTTGATAAACTAGATAAGAAATTCTCTACTTTCTCTGCCTTCAGGTATTCCATCAAGATTTGTCCGTTGTAGTTTCTTCTTGGACTTTAGAATGACAAGAGACATACAAGATGTTGCGTGAAAAGGAGGTTTTAACTTTTAACTGATGTCTTGCTAACATGTACGAAACATCTACTATCTGAGATGGACTCTGATAAGACATCCTTGAATAGTTTGGAAGGTAATCTATTTTTCTTACTTTTACAAAAATCAAATTTATGGTAACAATTCCCGAGTTGGAATCCAATTTGAACATGGTAGACTGTTATTATGGGCTATTCCTAATGCTATTTCTATATGTCATTTCAGTGTAGTCACTTTCTGCTGAAGATACATTGCTAGATTATGCTTTGACATAAAGAGTGTACCATTTGAACTTCCAAGTACCAACCACAATTGTGCACTGCAATGCTTGAACTTCCAGTGGCCTGTCTTGCATCTTCGAATGACTAAACTACTGATAGACCAGTGGCGGCAACATGCACTGAAATGCTTGAACTTCCAAGTACCAACCACAATTGTGCAAAAGAATTTCTCACGAGTTTTAAGGG